GAATCTTTTGTTTTCTGTTTATGATAGTAGTTCTTTTCTGGACCTTTTCATAATTTCACCCCACTCTTTACTACCCTCACTCTACCTTCTCTCCTTGGTGGGGAGGAAAAGGTTTATTTTTACGTAACAAAGCATGTTGGCTAATAATCTTTAACAACACATATGCTTACAGGGACTCCTGGGTGGCTCAGTTGGTTGGTTAAGCCTCAACTCTTGATTTTGGCTCAGGTCACGATCTCACAGTTTGCCAGATTGAGTCCCATGTCAGGGCTGACAGCTGACAATGTGGAGCCTGCTTGGTATTCTCTCTCTCCCTTTCTGTCTGCCCCTCACCTGCTCTCTCTCTCTCTCAAAATAAAAATAAATAACACTTAAATTATTAACACATATGCATATAGAGTTTACCTATAAAAGACTAGTCAGAGTAATTGACTTGGAGTGGAATTCAGTGTCAATATTCAGAACACCCCAGCTCAGAAGGCAAATCCATGGAGAGTCAGAAGCGCCTGTGATGGTGTTAAGATATAATTTTCAAAAACATAAAATCACGACTCTTGTGCAAATATACAATAAAACTTAGTAAAGATTTTACCCAACTCATTAGTTAATGGAGTAATCACTAAGATATTTAGACCAGTTCAAAAAGCATTTGAAGGGCTGGGTATTTATAGGTAATTCAATGTTACCACAAGGTTGATGGGTTAGGTACACAAGGAGCTCATGTCCAGCAGGATAATAAACCATACCTTTAAGGTTATCTGTTTCAAAAAGACAAAAACTCCTTGCATTTATATCTTTACTGGACAAAAAAATCTGTAAGTTATATGTAACTGCACCAAGTCTTGGGATAAAGCAAAGTAAATTTGTCTAGATAATCCTTATGGGGGGGGGGCGGGCAAGGGCCAATATCATTGCCACCATGACACTGAGATGTGCCACCCACTTTTCTGCCTCATGCTCAAGGTTTGGATAATTGTTTTTTAACTGTGGTAAATATTTTACATTGCAAACAACCTTTTAATCTGACTTGAGGCTTACTACAACCCGGGGGAGGCACAAAGGGCAGGGAAAACCCATTTCTCAGAGGAGGAAAGCGAGTTACACAATGGGAGGAGAACTCCCATTCTGGATTCCCAAGTCCTCCATTCATTCCTAAACTCTGTATTGCTTTTCCTCTTTTCCCTTCTTCATCTCTGTCCTGCCTTGTTCTTGGCGGTTCACCTGAAGGAAATGCTCAAAGTGGGGAGAAGGCCCTGTCGCGTGCCCCGCCCCCCACCCTTGCGCCCCCAGGGCTCCTGGCCTGAGATAAGTCCTTTCAAGTCCCTGACAAGATTCAGTTCCACAATATCCTACTCCTCCAGAGCCAAAGAAAATTGTCAAAACATTTTATCTCCCGTCAGGAAAAGGGATAGAATAGATGCTACATTCCCGGAACCCATTTTTTAAAGTGACGGCTCCTCTTACACTCTTCTGTGTTCAGCTACTGTGAGCAGTCCCTGGGCCATCTTCCATCTGAGACCAAGTCCACATCGGAGAAATCTACTGTTTATAAACCAGAATATCTTGTTTGAAAGAGTGTTTCTGCTTGATGTTTTCCTCCCCTCAATAAACAGGATCATCATTTTCTGTGTCCCAGATAGCTAGGTCTGTCTGGCTCCTGGGTAAATGATATGCAGTGGACAAAATGGTTATTTATTGTGTTAAGCACTCGGCCAGGAAACTGGCTGCAAGTGTGTCCTGATGGCCCAAATCTGCTTCTTCCTTGCAAGGCCATCTATTTTTCTCTCCCACAGACTTCTGTCACCATGGAAACTGTCCCACTAGCAGGATGGAGACTAAAGCCAACTGTCTGCCTCCTCCTCTGAGTCAGAGAGGCAACACTTGTACACATGAAGCAAAGTAGACAGTAAGAAAGTACATGAGGTATGTGGTTAGAAAGTAGTTCCCCTGAAGCTCCCTAGAATTCTGAAGCTTGGAAAGGAATTTTTTTTTAGGACATCTGCTTCAGGGTCTATCAGACAGGTCTATCAGGGTCTATCTACCTCGTGTTCACACGAGGTACAGTGACAACAAGAACAAACACTTGGTGCATAATGTTCGCATACCAAGCCCCTTCCATGCAGCAACCCTTTTAACCCTCACAGTAACTCTGCAAGTCCAGTTACTTGCCCAAGTCCAGAAGAAAGGAACAAACTAAAATCCAGACCTTTACCTCAAAGCCTGGACCACTTCACTTGAAAGAGCTGCCTGTTCCCCACCTCTCTTCTCACTCCTCACAAAGGCCAGCACCTCCAACATTCTGAAAGCCATTTCATATCCAGTGTCCACTATTTTTATTTGATCCTTCCCTCTCCCAGCCATCCACCATTGGTAACATCTCATAGAAGAGAATTCTGTGGAACAGGATTCCAACAACCTCGATCCAGGCCAGTTTTCTCATTTTACAGAGCAGCAACTTGGGCTGGGCGAGGAAATGAGTTGCCTCTAGCTGCACAGCTAATAAATGTCAGAGCTGGCACCAAAGAGCCAGCCCCCTGCCGCAGCCACATGCTCTGCCACGCTGCCTCACATCACTATTTCTAACCAAACCCTGAGCCAGCTGCTTGACCCTCCTGGCCAAGCATCAGGACCAATCCCCTTATAGGAAGACTGTTAAATCAGCTACTTGTTAGAAGAATGGCAAAGCTCGCATGCAGGGTGCTTTGCCGCTTACAAAATGCTTCCACCTAGCTCTTCTGTTCCCAGGCTTTGCTGCCTCTGAGTCTTTCTAAAACAATCCAACAACGAAGCCTTATTCATGTAAGTTGTACACCTTCCAAAATAACCATTGAATCACTCAAACACGAAGTGCGAAAGGATTGCTGTGTTTTGACTAGTAGAATCCAAGGTAACAGGAGGCAGAGGGAAGAACAAGAGGTGGAAGTTTGCAAGGTTTTACATGCCAGGGGTTCACGGAGTAAAGTTCCACCTGTGAGTGAAAGCTTAAGACGATGACTCAATGGTGAGCATCCACTTGTTTTCTATTTTTAACCTGAATCTAGCACTGAACAGGCACAAATCTGAACATGCTCCCCTTCAGATATGTGCAACGTGGCTTTTACTCTCCCAAGTTGTGAATGTGTGTAAGGACAGTGCAGTAGGGGGGTTCCTCAGTGGGTTGAGCGTTTGACTTCAGCTCAGGTCATGATCTCACAGTGTATGAGTTCAAGCCCTGCATCAGTCTCGCTGCTGTCAGCACAGAGCCCACTTTGGATCCTTTGTCCCTTGGCCCCTCCCTCCCTCCCTCCCTCTCTCTCTCTCTCTCTCAAAAATAAACATTAAAAAAAAAAACTTTATACAACAGCATAGTACGTGAAGACATGGTGTAAACAGCAGTTGTCAAGTTGGGGATATGAGGCTTCAGTGGCATTGTGGGAAGATGTGAGCAACAGAAGAGAAATATTGTGAATAACTGCGTCCTTTCATGTACTTCTCTGGATTCTGACAGTAGCAATGAGGATGGACTCACAGGGTTCACTGCTTCTTTTTTCCCCACTTAAAAGCAGGGAGAGGAAACTGTGACGCTCAGATTGCAAGAGCTCCCCCCATCATGCCCTTTTGTATCTTTTTGCCCTCACACATTCTCTTCCTTCTAAGAATCCCCTTCTCATTTTGCATAACCCCCATCCAGAGTCACCTCCTCTAAGAAGCCTCCCTGGACTTCCCCTACAGGTTTATTAACGCTTTCCTCTGGGCACCTAAAATCTGTGTGCAAAATAATAGCAGCTACCATCTTCAGTACCTAATGTGAATGGGCACTTTACATACATTATCTTTATACCCATTCGACAAGTAAGGAGACTGAGGCTCAATTGGTCCAAGGCCAGTATGTCTTGTAAGTCACGAAGCTGAGTTTGGAATCCTGATCTCCTGGGCTCCAAAGTCCAGCCTCTGCTACACAATAGGCAGCTTCCTTTGCCTCAAGGAGCAGGCGACAAATATGTGTTTCTCTCTTCGTCTCCCCCTAGATTGTGAGCACCTCTAGGGCACACCCGAATCTTATGATGTATCCCTATGCCTGATATAGTGTAGACACTAAGTTAGTGGTTAAATGAATCAAATGTCTGTTGAATGAGGAGCTTATCTGCTTCTCTTCCTAGTTGATGAAGCCTTGTTCTTGATAAAATCATAATACGTGTGCATACCTGTAGCAAGTCACCCCCACCCCCAAGTGAGAATTAGGGAAGTGTCTCAGCCAGCAGATCCGTACACTAACCCCTGGCTTCTCCAGTTTTAATGTAATACAAATCTCCTGGGAATTTTGTTGGTGTGCAGATTCTGATTTAGAGGGCTGGGGTGGGGCCTGAGGGTCTGGCAAGTGCTCCATGATGCCGCTGATTTGAAGACCCCATTTGAGAGTCATCTGGGTCTTAGCACATCCGCGGCAGCTGGTGACAAAGAGTAAAACCTATCCTGGGTGTTCTCCCTCCAAAGGACAACCAGACTTCAAATGCTCCTAATTTTCCATGTTTTAGAGAAATATTTAAGTTATGCTTTGAGCTATAGACATTTGGCATCATGAGCATTTGTTTGTGCCTGTAGCTTTGGTTTAATCACACTATCAATAAATCACAAATAAATGAGAGAGAGGAGGCACTCACTGGAAGATTCCATTCCAGTGACAAGTGGACCAGGGGAGCTGATGAATATAGAGGGAGGAGTGGAGAGTTTCCAGTGCCGCCCTGGTGGCTGGCGACAGCACTGAAAGGCCAGCAAGAAGCCCCCGTCTCATTCCATTTTTATTGGCAAGGGCCCCACCCTTACCCACTTGCCTGCCCTATGGCCACTTTCCCGGCTGGTCTTCTCCATTCTTGGTAAACAGTAACTGATGGCTTGTTCATCTCAAGCCCTTTGAACTCCACACAATCCCTTTGCTGGCATGCCAAGCTTTTTAGAGGTCAAGCATCCCCAATCCAAGACTTTTGGAAGTAAAACACCCTCTTTTCTGTCTCCCTTTCCAGATGTCCCTGGGCCAGCAGCAGTCAGCAAGAGGTGTGCCTTGTTTGAGATGCAAGGGGACGTGTTCAGGCTTCGAGCCACATCCATGGAGGTAACAGACTTTGTCAGGAGAGGCTCTGCCTGCCTGCATTTCTTGGCTGTCCTTTCTGGGAACCCTGGCTATTCTTCTCTGCTGGGATTGCTTAGGATGCATGCATTTCAGGGAGGATTGGCTCCAGAGTGAAGACACTCCTGCTTGGCCTAATTCAGAAATGACAGAAAAGCCCCGAGGAGCCAAGATGAGGAAGGAGCTTGGTGCTTTATGCACCATTTTGAGGTGGAGGCCACCAAGCTGGCCCCACGAAGGACTGCACTGGGCAGATGTGGGCAGATGTTAGTTGGTGCCTAGTCCTCTCCCGACTGCTCTACCCTGGGGTTTGGTGCATGTGGTGGATCGCCCCATATGGTGCTGTCACCCCATTTGGATCTCAGAATGCCCCTGGGCCAGAAATAAAAGTCACTGTGGGGGCGCCTGGGTGGCTCAGCCGGTTGGGCTTCTGACTTCGGCTCAGGTCATGATCTCACAGTTCGTGGGTTCGAGCCCTGCGTCGGGCTCTGTGCTGACAGCTCAGAGCCTGGAGCCTGCTTCAGATTCTGTGTCTCCCTCTCTCTCTGACCCTCCCCTGCTCTCTCTCTCTCTCTCTCAGAAATCATTAAAAAAAAACATTAAAAAAATTAAAAATCACTGTGTCCACAGTATTTAAAAACCAGGCACTACATTCATATCTGTGAGGGAGGGTCATCAGATCCAGCTGGACTTGGATCTGCAGCATGTTTCTTTCTCCTTTTTCATTGAGGACTCTGAAAAGCAGAGGTGGAGCTGCCACACTGCACAGCCTCCAGGCGCTATTCCCATCAGCATCTGTGTGGAGTCGTGCAGGGCACACAGCCTGTGAGACTGTCGGGGCAGCCCTGGGAGAGAGAGGCAAACCTCCGTAGGGCAGCCCTGGGAGAGAGAGGCAAACCTCCGTAGGGCACAACAGCAAAGTAGGAGCTTTTGATCTGCCTGCCAGAGGGCTTCCTGGGACACATAGAGCAGGAGTGAAATTTGGGAGGTATTTGTCTCAGAGTTGTTTATTTCCATGATGGGATGGCCATTACAAAAACATCTGTTGAGCTGAACTAAATCTTGTACGTTTGAATGTTGAAGTAACCCTGAGCAGTAGGTGTTAGTATCTTAGTGTCTCCATTTTTCAGATCAGGAAACTGAGGCTGGGTAACGGGGAGGAGGAGGGGATAGCTACTAAATGCCAGGATTCAAAGTTGGGTCTTCGTGAAACCCCACTCCATGCTCTTAAACATTCTACAGCAGTACTGTGGGTCGTTGGCATTTGAAGCATGGGATTGTTCCTTGACTCCATTCCCTGACAGTCCTCGACCTCACAGGAGCTCATGTAGTTTTCTGGATGCAAGAGACTTTCAAAGTCATCCAAACCCCACTTCATCCCCTGCACAGATTCCTCTTACAGCTACCACACTTCCCACTGGGGGAACACCCCACGCATCTAGCTTGGCCTCTAGAGCTCTTTCTGGCCTTGAAGAGTCAGCTTCCCTATCATTCCGTCCCCTTAGTCCTGAACCTGCCATCAGGGTGTCACAGAACAATGCTGACTCCTCATCAGCTCTCCGAAGACAGCTGGGATGCCTCCTTTTAGAATTCTTAGGGCAGAGGGAAGGGATAATGTTCCCTGAATGCACCCCTGACTCGGTTCAATAATTTTTCCCCCTCTCGAGGTTCAGCCCCTTTGCTGCCTCTTGTCTGACATCTGAAAAGGGTCATTTAACATATTCTGTCTGTTGTTCTAGCTGTTTATGGCAGGAGAGCAATTCTGGGCCCTGTTCTTCAGGACTGTAAGCAGGTGTCTTAGCATTATTTTAATCCCTACACCCCCCCACCATTCTACAAAGGACTTGAACATCCAGTAAATTTATCCTTAAGAAATGCAGATTGAATTTAGGTTATTCAAACCATACTGGAGCAGTGAGGGTCCAGGACCTTAGCGGAGAACCCACATAAAATCATTTTTATGCTCCAGTTTTCATACTGTCAGTAGCTGGAAAGATATTTAAATGAACCAAGTGGCAGCCAGCCTGGTTTAGTGAGCAAGTCCCTCAAACAATAATTCATGTGCTTACTCAGCTTGGACAAACACTTCCCTTCTGTAAGCCCCACCTTTTCCGTCTGATAAATGAGAGTATTATAGCCAATGTGCTCTTGGTTACCCTTCTGGCTTTACAATCTATAGTTTCAGGCAAGTTGTCTGTAATCAAACTCATGATTGGTATGGTTAACAGAATTAGAATGGTGTTAGTATTAGAGGCACAGATATCAGAATTATTTGGAGAGGACAGTATAGAGTGAAAGCAAGAGCAGACTTTCAGAATGAGCATATCATGAAAATGGAAGGAGAGGCTCAACCAGCAGCCTGCAGACTCCCACTTCCCAGATGGACATGCTGGGTTTGTTGGCATCCTGAGCCAACCTCATGATGCTGAACTCCCCTTCAGAGCAGAGGGAAACACACCTCCAGGACTTCAGGCTTTTCAAAGAGAGCCCAACAGAAAGTCTCTTCCTTGTATGCAGAGATTTTTTTACATTATCTTTATTGTAATAGCTTTATTTTTTTTATTTTTTATTTTTTTTAAACAACTTTTTTTTTAAAATGTTTTATTTATTTCTAGGAGAGAGAGAGAGACAGTGTGAGCAGGGGAGGGTCAGAGAAAGGGAATCACAGACTGGAACAGGCTCCAGGCTCTGAGCTGGCAAGTCAGCACAGAGCCCGATGCGGGGCTGGAACCCACGAACCGCGAGATCATGACCTAAGCGAAAGTCGGACGCTTAACCGACTAAGCCGCCCAGGCACCCCTGCTTTATTTTTTTTAATGTATACTGACTCCAGTTAGTAGAGGAAAACTGCAGTTTGAGGAAAGGGACCTAGTATGAAAAATGGGAGACAGACCAATGGCTCTTCAAATTACAAAATGTTACATTCCTCAGGGGTCACTCTCTGATGGATTCTCCTTCTCTCCCCATTGTGACACGCCTTCTGATGAGGTCCTGCTCCATGCCAGCTCCAGAGGCTGCCTAGGAGTTACACTGTTACCTCTGCCTCTTCTCTCCAAGGCAGTGGATTTTCACAGATTGACTCTGCCCTAAGATTTGGGCTTCCTTTGCTTTTCAATGGACAGTCTAGAGAAAGTCATCCATAGCTGCTTAAACTCCCAAAAGGGACCAATTAGTGACTCTGGCACTTTGATGTGCATCCAAATCACCTCTGAACAGGATTACAAGTACCCATGCTCAGATCCCACTCCTGAGAGGTGCATCTGACTAGCTGGGGCCAGGGCAGGGCATCTCCAAGTTTACCTACCTGCCCCAGTGATTTGGATGCATAGCAAAGTTTGAAAGCTCATCAAACAGACCAGGGGTCAGCTAACTTTCAGTAAATAGCCCGTTAGTAAACATTTTAGATTTGGCAAGCCATATGGTCTCTGCCACAACCAATCAACTTGGCCCTTGTAGTATGAAAGCATCCATTAGCATGTAAATGAATGAATGTGATTATGTTCCTGTAAATCTCTATTTCAGGACACTGAAATTCAAATTTCATATCATTTTCTTGTATCAGAAGATAGTAATCTTCTTTTGAATTTTTTTCAGCCATGTAACAACGTAAAAATCTCTTCTTACTTCACAGCCTGTGCAAAATTAGGTGATGGCTCAGATTCGGCCAATGCAATGTAGTTTGCCAACCCTGACGTAGACCAACTCTCTCATTGTCAAATAAGAAACTTGACCATGGACCTGTATTGGGCTAGTATTCAGGCTGGGATTATATCCCAACATTTTGCCTTTTCCATCATTCCAGGTAGCCCTGGACAGATTGCAGAAATGGCCACGTTAACACTATTGAGGATCTTTCTGTGTATCTGTGTCTTTTTCAGTCTGGGTGCCTGGAAAGAGTAGAGTGGAGTCAGAGGGGTGTCTTCCTATTTATAGAATCCCAGCAACAATGCCTGGCAACATGACAGCATGAATAAAAGAAACAGTATTGACATAATGTCAACGATTATCTCATGTCCGTCAACATTTTCCACTTCAAAGTGTTTTGCATTCCCCACATCCCTAAGAGCATCCTGAGAATCTACATTAACCAAATAAGCAATGGCAGCCTCCCCACCCAGCTCCACGGATGGAAGGCATTGGGGGTTCAAGGGTCCAATTGGACACTGGGCTTTCTGTCACTTCCTTCCTCTTCCTCCATCCATTTCCTTCTCTGCTGCTGTCACTCCCTACATGTAAACCAGTGGTGCTATTGCCTACCTTAGGGAAGCAGTCTCCCCCAAAGGGAGAGGCAGGAGGGTATTTATCATGAATGAGATGCTCCAATTCTGAAAAAAAAAGTGAGCAACAGAGAAAAAAAGACAAGACTTCTTGGTTTTGCCCCGCATCTTCTTTAGGATCCTATTCTCTTTTGTAATGCTAGAATTGTCCTTGAGATCAACAGTTTTACCATTCCTCAAATTATAGCCTACTGAACATGAATGTGGGCTGCAAGCTTCTCCTTGAATGACACAGGAAATATTGCATTTTCCCTGACTTAAAGTCACACTGTACATCAGTGCATTAAAAACGAGAATCAGCCTTGCACTGAAGAAATGTGTTTAACCTTCTGTAACCCACTGTTTCCCACACTGAGCCCTTTTCCATGTGCCACATTCTTACGTGCTGGGGGAACTGGTCCAGACCAGCAGAACCACCCCGGAGCATATGCAGCACTCATACGGCCCTACCTTACTCTGTGTTACAGTTCCCATCTGATTTGCTTTCCCTCGCCCACCCCAACTATAGGCTCCTGGAACGTGCACTGGCTCCTCCTCACTTTAGATAAGGTTTCTTGACCTCAGCATTATTGACATCTTGGGCAGGATAATTCTTTTTGGTGGTGGTGGGGGGACCGTCTTATATATATTACAGGATGTTTAGCAGTAAACATCTGGCCTCTAACCTCTTAAAGCCAGTATCACCCCATTATGACAATAAGAAGTGTCTTCAGACATTGCCGAATGCCTCTTGGGGGTCAGAATTGACCTTAGCTTGGAATCACTGATGTAGAATATCAAGGCGTGCTCCTGCTGACCGCCCTGTCAATATTTGTGATATATGAGTCAACATATCAATCTCCAGAGTTTAAAAGAGAAAAAAAAAGGAGGGTTCCTTAGGGCATGCCTAGCTGCGGGGCACCCATGCTACTTTTGCTTGGGCCTACCCCTCCATCTTTGCTGCAGGTTCTGACATTGCTCGCTTTACTTAACAAGCTCTTATGTCTCCTGCATGGGAGCAACTGAGATACAGCACGCTTCAGGCATCACAGCACACCTCAGGTGACAAGCCAGAAAGGGAGGGAAGCAGTTTTCCTGTACACCATGAACACTCTGGATTTCACAACCCAGCAGCATGGCACAAAGCAGCCAGATGCTTTTGTTTTTAATTGTCGGAGAGAAGTGTCAGGCTTTCAAATGAATTTGAAGCTTCCCCAGGATGCTTTTCCTTCTTTCAGCTTCACAACATAGCCTTGCCAGTGAACATCAATCTCTCCAGCCCAAGGGGTTTTCTTAGCTCATTCTCTTCCCCCTGGGTCCTAGCCTCAAGTTTCTTGAAGAAAATTTCCAGTTGCATTCTAACTTCAGTATGAGTGCTAAAGAGTTCACAGTTATTGAAGCTCCAAAGCTCATGAATCTTGGGAGACAGTTTCAATAATTCCTTAGAGCAGAGGTCAGCAAACTTTTTTTATAAAGGACCACAGAGTGGACAATTTAGGCTCTGTGGGCCACATGGTCTCTGCTGCAGTTATTCAAGTCTGCTGTTGTAGACCAAATGCATCCACAGACAATATGGAAATGAATGAGCATGGCTGTGTTCCAATAAAACTTTATTTATAAAAGCAAATTTGGGGCCAGGTTCAGCCTGCAAGTCATAAAGACTCCTGCTTTTGAGCATCTTTAATGAATGAACCAGCCCTTGCTGCCACCGTGAGTAAAAATGTGCTGGTCTTTTTACCAGCTAAAGTCATATCCCACATTCCCCATAGACAGACAGATAGCCTCCCCAAAGCAGTTCTCAATCCCAAAGGCCTTTTGGTCTCAGTTTACCATTTATCTGAGGCCAGCCATTCTGAGTTACTAAAGTTGAATCTTGAACTTGCTTTCAAAAAGGCAGATGCTACCAGCAGGAGACTCTGCTCCTCTTCTCTGGAGGTTGATCTCCCTTGTCCTAATTAACCTCCCCCCGCCCTCCACCCCAGGAAAATATGCAAGTCATGCAAATGCAGTCATGAGGACCACTGCCTGAGCTCTGAGCTGGAAGATGATCGGAAAATTGGCCGCTTGCTGATGGACTCCAAGTACTCCACCCTCACAGCCCGAGTGAAAGGCGGGGACGGCATCCGGATTTACAAGAGGAATCGGATGATCATGACCAATCCCATTGCCACTGGGAAAGATCCCACCTTTGACACCATCACCTATGAGTGGGCGCCCCCTGGAGTCACCCAGAAACTGGTAAGAGAGTTTTCTCCAGCCAAGTGGTTCTTTTCCTATCCTTGTAAACGTTAGTCATGCCTGAATTTCAAAGACAAGGTAAGAAGAGGGCAAGATTATAGAAATGATAAGAATAACTAAGGTTCCAGACCTGCTCCTGCATCACTATGTGATCTTGAAAACTGTCTGAGCCTGTTTTTCCTCTTCCATGAAATGGATAGAAGTGTTTCTATGAACTCTGAGGGCCCTTCCAACTCCAGTGCAGGGTTGTTCATGGTTCCCTTTGGGCTCCCCACTTCTTTTTTTTTTTTTTTTAATTTTTAATGTTTTATTTATTTCTGAGAGAGACAGAGACAGCGTGAGCAGGGGAGGGTCAGAGAGAGAGAAAGACACAGAATCTGAAGTAGACTCCAGGCTCTGAGCTGTCAGCACAGAGCCCGACGCAGGGCTCAAACCCACGAACCGTGAGATCATGACCTGAGCCGAAGTCAGATGCTTAACCGACTGAGCCACTCAGATGCCCCAGGGCTCCCCACTTCTAAACAAAGGCTGGTTTATCATTCCAAACTCTCCCAGTACTTGTCTTCATGTGTGAGGTGTTCATCTTCCCTCAGAGTGGCCTGGGATGTACCCTTTGCAGGCCTAGGGGGCGGAGCACAGAAATAGTCCTCTCTTCTCACCAACAGCTGAAGGCTCTTAGCCTTGGAAGGGAGAACTAGCTATACACAACCCTGGGAATGAGTCTCCCAGAGGACAACATCCAGAGAGAGCAAGTGACTTGCACCAGGTCACACCCTGGCTGCCCACTACAAACCCATACCAAGTCCCCACGCCCAGGCCTCATCCAAGATCAGAAGCTCCAGATTGCAGGATCAGAATCACCAGACACGGACATTTCACTCCTCAGATAATGCCACATGCAGACACCTTCATGACCCCACAGACCTGACCAGTGCCCCTCCAATTTCAGCAAGCATATACATCACCTAGACAACTTGCAGGAATATATCTAGGAAGCTTGGGGCTGGTCCTGAGACTCTGCACTCCTGACATGCTCCCAGGGGATGCTGGCCCCCAGATGATGTTTGGAATAGCGAGGGACCAGATGATTTCCACAAGTTAATGAGATTGAAAAAGCTCCTACAATTTTAAAGTTGGAGGCCTGGCATTTAATTAAATCTCCTGGGAGAAAAGGAGAACCTTCCAGTGTCCTGCAGGGTCATAACCCCATAGGCTACTCCCATAGCTCTGGCTCTGACCCCTCACTCATTACTTTATAGTGCTCTGACCTTCTTCTTTCCTGCTCTGGAAAACTCTAAGCTTTTGCCCTTCTCAGGGACTTTACACTTGCTCTTCCCTCTACTTGAAATGCCTTTCCTTGCTTTTTGTATGGCTGGGTCTTTCTGACAGTTGGGTCTCAGACAGGCCTTCCCTAACTCTCCAATCCACCTAGCCTCCAGCTACATTTTTTTCTCTCTCCCTCAGTTCTCCACTGATCCTTTAGAAGATTTATTGCAAGCTGCAGTTGTCTTACATGTCTTTGCTTAGTTGTCATCTCTCGTTGGAGTGAAGTGAGGCCCATGAGGGCAGACACCACACCTGTCCTGTGCACCATCCTATGTGGCACCTTGTACCATGCAGGGCACGTAGTAGGCCTGATGAGTCTTTGTGCTACATCACCCTCCTGGAGTGGCATTCCACATGTGGTTTGTGGACTCACAGTGCACCACAAAATCCTGTGACTGGTCCACAATGAGAAGTACAGAAATTGAAAATAAATGTTGGGGAAATTTAGTAGCAACTGACATCCACGCATGTGATCAGACAACTCCTGTCACTGAACAGAATTCCACTGTGGTCAGACTCACGTGGAAATCTCATGTGGCATGTGCTACATTCTTATCTCATGCAGTGAGCCCACAAATCATTCTGCAATCAGTGAAAAACTCAAACAAAAAAACCTGATCCTTCACCATAGAGAGTTTGAGTAGCACCCTTCTAAGCTGAGCTTACGTGGAAGAAAGAAGGGGGAAATCCTTTCTAGACCAAGTGGAGAGAGGCAAAGATGCTTTTTTTAAAAAGCTATAGTTCTTGAAAATGCATTTTAAAAGAATATGTCAACATATGTGAGCTCAGCCACCCCGTGAGGTAGGAACTATTTTACGTGTGAGGAAACACAGAATGGTTAATTGGCCTTGACCCGCCGGAGGGGCTGGGCAGGGGCAGATCTGGGCCACAGAGAGTGGCATCCAACTATAGTGGTGCCGGGTGGCTCCAAATGTGGGTCTGCATCTAGCATCCAGGTCTGGGTAAGCCATCAAGCAGGTCTCAAGATGTCAGTGGAAACTAAAGCAAGCAGCTCGTAAAAGAGCTGGCTGCGGGCGTCAGGAACTGGCTGGTGAAAACCCCAAATGCTTCGGCTCCAGACTAATCAGAGGAAGGCATCGTGAGGCTGTGATTAATGCTTGCTCATAAAACCACATGGTATAAAGGCCCCTCTGTCTGCTCTACATCTGGCCTGCCTGAGCAAGTCGCCTCTCTGAGATTGGATAACTCTCCCTTCCCGTTCACCCTCCCAACTTTTTTTTTTGTTTGTTTTAATTACCAAGTGATCAGGACTGATTATATTTTGGAAGTGGAACGGAATCTTGCTATCATCCTTCCCAACCAGAATGAAAAATGGAGAAATTCTTAAGCCTTTAAGGACTAGTAACAATAAACCTAATAGCTAATTACTGAGTGCTTGCATGTGCTAATCACTCTTCTAAGAGCTATGCATGCACAGTCTCATCTAATTTTCCAACACTGTTAGGGATATACTATTACTACCTTTATCTACAGAGGGGGAAACTGAGGCTTAGAGAAGTGAGAGCACTAGTCAGATGTCCCATAGCTGGCTTAAATGGCAGAGCCAGGTCTTGGATTCAGGCCTCTCTGACTCCAAAGCTTAGGCTCCCCTCTATCAAGCCAGGCCAGGAGAACCAGAGAGGTAGGAGGAGAGGCAGAAAGCAGCATGTATCTTGGATAGCACCTTTAAGGGAAGGCTTCTAAGAATAGGGAGGGACTTGGGCAAATCTTTGAAAGCTAGCCAGGATTTGGGGGAGGGAAGAAGGAAAAGATGAAGGGAACCAGCATGCATTGAGCATTCTGCATGGTGTGTGTCTGTGTGTGTGTGTGTGTGTGTGTGATAAATTTATCTATTTATGTTGATGAGGAGAGAGGGCTGAGCCAGAGTCAGGTGCCTGTGCCACTCAGAGCTTGTTAGAGAATCTCTCAGGAATCCCTACAGTATACATATGATTTATGATAAACATTATGATATATTTATATATATGATATATTATCATCAACACTTCACTACTCCCTACGTGCATAATAATCCCATTTTTACAGGGGAGCAAACAGAGGCTCTTGAGAAGCCTGTGCAGATGTGGCAGTCCTACCTCACCCTCTATGCCCACACCCATGGTGAACATTGCTGGAGAGTTAAGATCACTAACTTGGGCCTCTTTGGGTCTCAGAATCCTTCTCAACACAGCACTCCAAGTAGCCACTATTGACAGGGATTAACATGTAACACTGTACTGTCCCTGCCTGATCATCGGAAAAGCAGAAAGAGCAGGCAGGATGGGGGAGTTCTGATTCCAGAGTCCATGTGCATTCAACTATGCCCAACTCTGGGAATCAAGCACCTTTCTTTTCTCTCTGCCTTTTGATTCCTCTCCTGATAAAGCCCAATTCTGGGAACCTCTTCACCCAAGATGTCCCAGCCAGACAGCAAAGCACCAAATGACTCAGAAAGGTCCTCATGAAAAACTTGAAACCTGAACCAACCTTTCCAACTGCTCTGAGAAAAGCCTCTTGCTAAAGGTTTTGGGAACATGACCTTAATCAGCTTCCTGAAGGGATTCCTGAGAGATTCTCTTACAAGCTCGGAGTAGCACAGGCAGCCGACTGACCCAGCGCTCTCTCCCCATCATCCCCTTCCCAAGACCATGCCAGTCAACAGTGATTGTCTGCAGGGCCATGTTAAGATAGACTCCGAGAGGCGCCTGGGTGGCTTAGTCAGTTGAGCATCCGACTTTTGCTTAGGTCATGATCTCGCGGTTCATGGGTTCGAGCCCCGCATCGGGCTCTGTGCTGACTGCCAGCTCGGAGACTGGAGCCTGTTTCAGTCTGTGACTCCCTCTCTCTCTGACCCTCCCCTGCTCACGCTGTCTCTCTCTCTCTCTCTCCTAGAAATAAATAAAACATTAAAAAAAAAAAAAGATAGACTCCAATACCCTCACCAGGGTTGATGAGTAATGTCTGCCACACATGTGTGAATAGGATTCTCAGGCCAGCCATCTCACACACACACACACACACACCACTGGCAGCCAGATGCTGTGACCTTGACGCTGCATAGGCAGAAAGCAGGTACTCAGCTGGGGCTTTGACCTGTAATAGGAACACCAGGTTCCCAGGAGGGAACACTCCCGGTCTACTGGGCTGTGGCCAGGAGTCCATTAGCCCTGCAGGCCACAAACACCTGTGGCCAGGACAGAGCCATGAAAGGACACTGAATACAGGGATCAACTAACAGGTGGCCAGCAAGGCCGCTGCCCCGGGACTTCTACCACAGTGTTTATTTGTAAAGCTATGCAGGGAGAGATGCCTGCTCTTGAAGGCCAGAATCACAGGCATATCCAGGGCTAGGGGATCATTGCACTAGGCAATGCCCGCACAGCCTCCTCACCCTGAGATGAAGACAAAAGGAAACTCCCCTAGAGATTGGGGGAATTTTTTTTTTTGTCTTTGCAAGTAATTTGCCTTCTAGAGAGGTAGTGTCAAAGGGGCGGAGACTCGAGCTGCTGAGTACAAAGCTGTGTCTACCACAGACTAGTTGTGTGACCTTAGGGAGGTTACTTCTCTGTGCCTCAGTTTTTCCAGTGATAACATTAGTACCCTCTTCCTTGGGGTTCTGTGAGAAGTAAATGGGCTAGTGTGGGTCAGGCCCTTAAAAGGGTGCCTGGAACATAGTAAGTACCACATAAGTTCCTGCCATTCCTTTAACCACTCAACCTGGGGGAGTCAGCAGCCTTCAGAGAAGAGGCTATGCTCCCAGGAGCTCAGTCAGCCATGCACCTGGATCTGCTTCCACACTGGGAGTGAATGAGATGTTCGCCAGTTGTGAGTGCCCATTCTGGCACGGTGAGCCATGCTCTTGTTTCTACCTCTCCATCCCTTCCACAGATCCTGGGGGCAGGACAGGCCTCAGACATGAAATAAGAAAGCCTGGGATAGATATTTGACACCCCCCCCCATACCTGTCTGTAACCCATCTCCCCAGGGCCCTGTGCTCTGCCCCAGCCTGTGGGCTGCTGGCCTGCTGCTTGCCCTGACCTCTGATGGTCACACCCCTTCCCCCCCATCCCCCACTGTCCCCAGAGAGGCCCAAGTCCTCAGATGTCCTGCTTCAGATAACCCAGGAGGACCTGCAAAAGTGCTCACTTCTGGGCTCCTCCAGGCTCCCAAATCAGAGTCTAGGGTGATCCCAGAAAGTTTTTTCACAAGGTCATTAGGTGAGCACCCTACAGTCTGAGACTAGGTTCTTCAGACCTACCTGCCTGGCCTGTGTGTGCTGGAAGCCACCTGCAGTTTCATACTGACCCAGAGAAAAAACGCACGGCCCGACATACCCCCAGGGTCAGGACCAAGCCCTTCCCAGACGTGTGGTCAGCCATGTGGTTCCCTGGAACTCTTGTTCTTCCACGTGTTGAGGTTCAGAGTTTTGGCCTCTTTGGCCAACCAGAATCTATGGGCTCCTTGAGTCACTTTTGTGTGCTGTAGACCGGGTCAATGCTACTGCTTCCCTCTGCTAGTTGTGGTGAGGACTGAGTGAGGTCACCACAGACCCCTCACAGAGGTTAGGACCCTGAAGATCATGCAGTCTACCCCAAACTTTGCAGATGATGAAACTGAGGCCTAGGAGGCTAGGTAATGTCTCAGTCTTACACAGAGAACAGCAGCAGGGAGGGAGCTAGAAACCCAAATTCCCTGATACCCTAAGACTCTATCCACCACCCAGTCCATCTCCTGTGTCTTGGAAAGCATCAGGAAAGTCCTGGGGACTGTGTAGGTGAAGGGGGTTAACAGGGTGTACTGTGAGCTCACAGGTGTTCCAGGATCCAGGGCAGAGCCACCTGGGGGGGCATCTACAGCCACTTTTCACTTCATGAGTCCTACAGGAACCCTACCTCTCCCTTCTCTAAAACTGCTCTGATCCAGAATTCATTTATTATGGAATTTAGCAAACCAGGCTCTGGACTAGTACACTACTCCATCAGGTTCCTCATCCCTCCTCCCTAACATGAGGCAGCAGCTGGGGTTATTCATTATGAATTACAGTATGACTTTCCATGTTGATGAACACAATTCACTTCCAACCAAGTGATGTGATAGGAGGCAGACAGGTTCCAAGAGGGTAAATATGGCAACAGCCACCTGGGCAGTGGGAGTCAGGCAAACTGGTGGGGGTCTCAGGCTCACATTCAGGGTCAGGCAAAGAAATGGAGAACAGTTGTGAAGGATAAACAATTTGCTTTTCACACTTCCTCATGCTGTGTGGCCTTGACCTTTTTCTTCTCTCAATCTCCGCATCCCTGGAACCCACCCAAGTATAAGATTACTGTTCATTTAAAAAAAAAAAAAAGCCAACTGGACAGTCATCTATGGACATATTAATATTCAGATGGTTTTCAGTCATATTGATGTGGAAATGTTATTACCATGAGACCTTGTCAATTTGTTCTATTAGAAGGTGCCTTTGCCTGTTTTTAAATTAATAAACCATGAAATACTTTACACCTATAATGATTTAATTATACTTTTCCAAGAAAAGCAATTTTAAACTAGATTGACTTTTTTTTTTCTTTTTAAGGAGCATTGCCATGAGGTAAATGAAGTAAAAATATTTAGTTTTGAAGGAAAGCAAATCTGCATTACAAAGCCAACCTGTCTAGTACACCATTCCCATCCAGAATGTGACTCTGTGATGACCCAACGGGAGTGACAGCTTATTTAGGCCTCTCTTGGGTGTTGCCAAATTCAAACGTTTCTGCCTTGACCATCTTTGGGTTCTGCAAAAACACCTGGAGAAGCTGGAAACTGGTCACCAATTCCAGATCTTGCTTGGGTGCCTGAGAATCATAGTCGGTTTATCTCCTCCCCACTAGGGCCTGCAGTACATGGAGCTCATCCCCAAAGAAAAGCAGCCAGTGACAGGCACCGAGGGCGCCTATTACCGCCGTCGCCAGCTCATGCACCAGCTCCCCATCTACGACCAGGACCCCTCTCGCTGCCGTGGACTTCTGGAGAATGAGTTGAAAGTAATGGAAGAATTCGTCAAGCAATACAAGAGCGAGGCCCTCGGTGTGGGAGAGGTGGCCCTCCCTGGGCAGGGGGGCCTGCCCAAGGAGGAAGGGAAGCAGCAGGAAAAGCCAGGGGGCACAGAGACCACCGCTCCGACCACCAACGGCAGTATCGGTGACCCATCCAAAGAATACGTAAGTGTCTCCTGTGCCTCCAGGTCTGGCTGAAACCACCAGGCCCAGGGCTTGCGCAGTCAAGGCCCCACCTCCAGGCTTTCCCCCCTCCTTCCTACATTCATTCACGCATTCATATCACCAGTGGCTGTTTGGTGCTCAGTCACTCTGTGCCAGGCACTATCCTGTGGAAAATAACACAGGTCACTGTGCTTGAGAGGCTAATCACCCAGTGAAGGCTACCAGACTGTCACAGTTTAGAGAAAGGGCATCTAACCTCACTCGAGGTGAGAGTGGGCTTGGAAGAGGAGCTGAGGCCCAACCTGGCCTGGGAGGAATGATTAGGATGCACCCAGGTCTTCAGGCTTTGCAAGGAAGACCCTGGCTGTCTTAAAGAGGTGAGCACGGGCAAAGCAACCCTAAGTTCCAGAGAGCACGGTGGAGCCAGAGGATTGAACAAAGTCCCATGTGCCTGAGAACGTGGTGTGCTGGGGGACGCGGGGACACAAATCTGGCAAGGTCAGCAGGGGCACACTTCCTGAAGAGGCAAGCCTTCCATCCATTCATCACCCAAGTATTGACTAGCGTGTGCTGTCCGCCAAGCCCCAGGAAATCAAACAAGGGGAGGACACTGTCTCCACAGTGGAGAATACCATGGATGTAGGACCTCACTCTGGGGGACACAGGCAGCTATGGCAGGTTTCAGTGGGAGCTGTCACAGGATCTGAGCTGTGCTTTGGAAGGCACCCTCTAGCAGCATGCGGGATTGTGCTGTAAGGGAGTAAGGTACTGGAGGCTATTTGAGAGAAAATGAAGAAGGCAGAGTGTCAGAGTGGTGAAAACCTCATGGATGGCTTTGTCTTAATCTGCCACACAGGAGCTCAAAGGACTAGTTTGAGACAGATGCCAAGAGGGCTGATGTTTGCTGTTTCACGGCCTCTGGCTTCCTTCTACCTTTTGCCCTCTGCCCCAATTAGACAAGTGGATTCAGCTGCCTCTAATTAATATTTGGAGATAAGTGTCCCAATACATGAAGCCCTCAAGCAAATTACCTGCCTTGCTGGTAACAGGCTGGCAGTCACCCATGTGAGCCAGACATCCCGGGGAAATGCCAGCCCCAATGATGCTGTCACTACATTCAGAAAGGGGCAGGTTCATTCTTCCCTGTAGTGACTCAAACTTGCCATCCAAAACCTTCATCCTGCTTGTCCAACCCCCATTTGTTGGCACATTCATTTGGGATTACCATCCAGTGAACCATGGCCGCACACAGTTCATCTGAGAACTCTAAGACAAAGGAACAAAACTTATTTTCCTTACCACAGATTTGGCGACGATGTTGAAAAGACCCATTTCCAAGGAAGAATCCGTGTCCTAGCGACTTAAAAGAAAATTAGAACCAGTTACAATGTTTCATAAACTAGTTGTCCTCCCTATCCAGCCCTATATCCCAATAGTTGTCTGTTCTTAAAGCATAAATACTGCATAATTCCAAGTTGGAAGGCGATCTCTTTAAGTTGTTGCGACATTTCCCAATTGCCATTCCCTGGAGAGAGATGCTATTTTATCCTTGACTCAGCCCCACATATTTGTACAGCATGGAAGTGGGGCAAAGGTGACCTGCGATCCTGAGCTCCTGCCTACATCAACTTTAGGAAGTAGTTCTGACAGTTTGGAAGCATTTAAACAATAAGACCAGACCAAAAACAGGGAATTTGAAGGAATCCCATGTTGGTTGGTCTAGGCTGGCTGGGGAAAATGGCCTTCTCCTTCCTTACCCTACCCCCAATCTTGATTGGATAACTAGTTATGCAATTAGTGGATCCCTGCCTGTATTTCATGTGTTCATGTCTCCTCTAGGTGCTGCAGGTTTGTCTTTTTCATCTCTGTATCTTCAGCAGGTGCCATTGATATAGATAGTAGGTGCTCAATAAATATGTGAACCATGAATGAATGAACAAATGGATGAATAAATGAGTGTTCAAACTAAATAGAGCCTCAAACGATGGGGACAGTTTTGATGACCATTTTTCCCAGGAGGATGATGAGATCCAAGTTCACATTTATTAAGCACCTGCTCTGTGCCTCTTTCCTCACTCTTTCAGGGTCTTTAATTCACCTGGTAGAGTGAATTTCACCAACCCCACTTGACAGGTATGGAATCAGAGATTCAGAGAGGGTAGGTAACTTTTCCAGCGTTCCACAGTTTCTAAGGAGTAGAACCTGTATCAGATACTTTTCCTACTACATGGTGCTGAGTTATAAAACCCTGTTCCAGGAAGAAAGAAGCCTGGGTGCTCTTATTAACTCCCTGTTTATCTCCTAGAAGCCAGGAAGAAAATCCTATAAAGGTAGTTAGATAGCCTGCCAGGCCATAGCCAGCGTGTCCCCAACAATCCCAAACTTGCTCTGCCTCACTCCCGTCAGCGGCCAAGTCAAGTAGACGTGGGTGCTGGCCATCCTATGTGCTGTGTGCCTTCTGTTCCTCATAAAAGGGCAGTGGAGGACAGTCACCAGAGCCAAGCATCAGGCAGGAAGCCTGATTTTTGCTCCCCTGAGGAGGACAGTGAACTTTGCCAGAAATGGTCAGGGCATTCACTCTGAGAACCCAGATATGGGGAGGAAATTGTAGAACTCAGACTGATGCCCCAAATCCAAGCGGTGATTTATGGGGGGAAAAATGGACAAAAGAAAGAACACATAAAACATATTTTCCTAGAACTCTCTTGGTGACATAGTATTGTTTTTCACCCTAAGAGTGATTATTATTACCATTGTTAGCAGCTATGACTTGGCAGGCTTTCTCTGAACCAAGGGCAGCAGCTAAGAACCAGAGTGTCTGATATAAAGCGCCCAACCATCCAGCGACTTGACGAAAAGCTATGGGATTTGAACCAACCTCCCATCAGATCCCAAGTCCATCTTTCAGGTTGCCCAAACTTGATCCTTGGATATGTAATGGATATTAGATCTTAAAGGGGTTACATGGCCATATAAGTTTGGGAGACATTAGACTAACCAAATCTAAGTGGGTTTCTTTGTGGTAGGACTTCTCAGAGCCTCTGGCAGCCTGTGGCTGTGGCTCTCAAACTAAAATCACCTGGAAGGCTGGCTAAAATCCAGAGCGCTGGACCCCATCCCAGAGCTCCCTGGTTAGTAGAAACACGTGGGGCCAGAGAATCAGCTAGTCTTAATGAATGCCCAGTGGTTGATGCTGATGCTGCCCTGGGGGCCACACTTTGAGAACCACTGCTAAAAAGTTTTAAAATAATTTTACGGGGGGTACCTGGGTGGCTCAGTCGGTTAAGTGTCTGACTTCAGCTCAGGTCATGATCTCACGGTTCGTGGGTTCGAGCCCCGTGTTGGGCTCTGTGCTGACAGCTAGCTCAGAGCCTGGAGCCTGTCTTCAGATTCTGTATCTCCCTCTCTCTCTGACCCTCCCCTGATCACACTGTCTCTGTCTCTCAAAAATAAAAAAAAAAATAGTAATTTTACGTATGAGCCCAGGAAAAATAATATTAAATTGGTATGGAGGATGGAAGCAATGACAACACAGCATTTTGTAGATGTAGTTGGCCTCCTGGCTTAGGGAGTCCGGCTTTGAGGACGCTACACAGGTATCTTCCTTGGAAGGTCCACCGGGAGTTCCGGAAAAATAGGCATCGCATCACACGCCGCATTATACCGCACCCAACCACACTATTCAGCAGCCTGAGGCTACACGCTTCCTTTTCACTGAGCCGTAAACACCAGACACTGCAGGGCACTTCTGTGAGCTGGCACGGCTCTGCCAAGCTGCTGCTGGCCTTTACTGTCCTTTCTGAGAGACCTGGGGACCCGAGCCATGGCAGGATCAGGCTATTGAGTCCTCGCCAAGCCCGTCCACCAAAATAAGCTCAGAGGAAAGGGTTCTCCAGACCAGAGGAGCTTAACTTCCAAAGCCTTTTCCACATTGCCTGTGTGGAAGTCCTCCCGCTCCGTGAGCTGAGTTAGGGGTGAGGCCATGTATATATGGGAGGCCTAGTCAGCCTGTGGGAACAGCACCCTCTGAGCTCAACTCACCCGTGTGGCTGGGGCTGTGCAGTCCTCAGATCTGAGTACAATTCGCAGATGTGCACCACCTTTCAGACCTGCACACCCACCCGCTGATGGGACAGGGCAACCTAACGTCAGCTGAGGCTCATCTGAGAAGTGAACCCAGGAGCTGGGACTGCCCTTGCCTACCTCAGAGCTGCCCCAAAGAGTCATTACTACACTGAGCTTAGGAGAGGCAGGACACCACGGGAAATGCTATCAGAGGCACGCATCTTCATGAGGAAAGACTGCAGCGAGAAATCCTAGATGCTAACTCAGCCGCTGTCACCCCACAAGCGTGCCCTTTAAATCAGTGAGGCCAATTAAAAACCCAAACTATTTAATGTCTCCGTCTAGTTCCTTTAATTGCCCCACCATGTGTGTTGGCAAGGAAGGGAGGCAGGTGGGAAGGGACAGTTACTGAACTGCAGGCTCATTCCTGTCCTTGAATCCTCCTGACAACTAGGAGAGACTAGAGTTGTTACCACCTCACGGCTGTGAAACCTGAAGCACAGAGAGGTTAGCAGGCTTGCTGATGAGAGGTGGGGCTGGGATTCCATCGTGGATCCTTGTTGGTCACCAGTCCTAAGGAGTCTGAGCAGTCCTGGGGCGGGGCCCTGGATGGGTGAGGGTAGTACCACAAAGGGTGTGATGTGTATTTACATTTGTTGGACCAGCTGCAGAGTTTGGAGTCGCCCACAACCCAGTTCAGTGGAGAATCTGGGGGCCTCTTATATGCATGCCAAGAACAACGGAAGGACTCGCCCATTGCACCCCAATCCCACCCACCATGGGTTCTCATGGGTTTGGGGGGGCTTCAGAGAGCCCCATGGCCAGGGATCTGCCAACTCCAGCAACCTGGAACATTCACTATAGAATGGCAGAGCCCCGTATCCACTTTCCAGGCCCTCTGCTCCCCACCTCTCCCACCTGGCTGGAACCTATGA